CGTCTTTACCTAGACTAGTTTTAGTCGTCTATAAGTGTCTAAAATGCGTCTTGTGCTTACTGGGTGTATATTCAGCGTTTGACTGCTGTCTAGATGCTATTTTGACTTGAATATTATAAATAGTGAAGTTGCGGCTCCAGCTGCATTGATGCAGTTACCAACTGTATAGTTTATTTTTTCAATTGTTACCGACCAATTTTAATAGACATTTAGCACCACATTTGAGTGCCTGCCTTGGTTTAACAGAAAAGACAATTTCGTCCAAACTCCAAATATTGCGCGAACTATTTTCATTAACATTCACTATAAGAAATTGCTTTTCACAAGTTTGGAAATATTTTAACTGCAATTTCTTTAGTTCAAAATGCTACTCTCAGTGTTGATATCTTACTTGCAGCTCTAATGCTTTCATTTGTTTCCATCTGTTAATATAATGATAAAGCCATTTATTTTTAGATCAACCATTTTTAAATAAACTAGTTTGATTTGCAACTTTTAAATAGCCGGCAATAATATCTGTGGTTTGGTTTTGTGTTCTACCAAAACCCAATCTGCCAGCATTTCGACCAATATTAATTCAAGCACACTACTTAGAGTTGTTACCAGACCTTTACAAATTCACATGATTATTTACACGGTTTGACAAGGTACCTTTTAGAATATTATCTATTTAAGATGCTTTGCATAAACTTATTTTACCTCTATTTATTCTTCCAACCGCCATATTTATTTGTCCCTAAGAGTAATTTTTTTTAAGTTTTTTTTAAGTTTTTTTTTTTGTTTTGATAATGTTTTGGCATTTTGAATTGATTTTAATTTTTTCAATTGGTTTAAATTGATTTAGATTTGCACAGGAAATTGTTATAAGTAAATTACAGTAAAGAATAAGTAAAAATAATGATAGAATGATGTTGCCATGTTATTTTAACGTCGTCAACCAAAAAACCATTTATTGACTGAAAATAATCAAATTTCAATAAAACTTTCAAAGTCTTTTTTTTCCTGATCCTCAACTTATGGTAAATTCTACAGGTAAAAATAACAGTTAGTGAAGTTAATAAAGAAGATTCATTATCCGCGATAACAGATGTTAGTGGTTTGCCTAAAGACATTGGGATATTTTTGACACGTCAGAGTTTTGCTTAATTTTTGCAAAAGTTGGGGGAATACACAGTCAAGTACCATTATACCTTCTGAACCTTCTGAAACTTCTGAAAAGCTATTTAAAGCTGTTTAAGAATGGAGACAATTACATGATTTCCATGCGTATCACAAAGTTGCAGTGTCTGCGGCATCAGATTTCATTAGAACATATAAATGTCCGTCTACAGATGTACGTAATTTATTTAATAAAAGAAGGCTTAAAAAGGTTAAAGAAGTTCAAGACTGTAGGTAAATCTATAATATTTCTTGATCATCAGAATATTGCTCTACTTGGTCATCAATTAAATCAAAAATTTTAAACCTTTATATTAAATGAAACAACAGATACCAGTCAAAGTTTTCAAATGACAGTTGTGCTCGGATATATTAATGTTAATAACAGTAAAATCAGAGAAGATTTTATTAGTTTGTAAACTACCATACTGAAAATTGTTTTGATTTTTCTAAATTTTGTTTAAAATTTAGAAAAATCAAAACGTTATGTTAGGTGAAAAAACGTTATGTTAGGTAAAAACAACGGAGCAGTCACAAAATTACAGAATGTTTTAACAAATGCAATAAAAAGTCCATGTTATAACCATACTTTAAACATATCAATTTTCAAATGTTCGTCTGTACAAGCTGTAGGAAATACAATTGGCAAAATGAAAAAAGTAAGTTTTTAAAGCTTTACCGAAACGAAGTAAATATATAAATAAGGAAATGCTTACGAGCTTATTTGAAATAAGATGGATTGAGCAACAAAATTTTGCCTAAGTCTTAGATCTTTTTTGATAAATATAGTAAAAACTCTTGATTTGATATCTCAGTGGAACGGGATTCTTTAACAAAGGCCGCATTACTCAAAAATACAATATCCAAATCTTTATTTGTAATAACTTTTTATTCATTAGCACATTAATGTGTTAAACACCATATTCTTTTTAAGTGAGGCTATTCAAAAAAAAAAAAAAAAAAAAACATTAGATAAGGAATTTGTAAAAACTATAATTAAACATGCCATAAAGATATTAAATAAAAGACAAAATAAAGAAAACTTCAATGTTATTTTTAAAAATGCATTAAAGTTACTAAAATTAATTTCAGAAATCAGGGTCTACAAATTACAGGAAAATAAACTAATCGCTCAAACCTCAATACCAACAATCCTCAAACTTATTATAGAGTCATTGTTCATTTACCGTTATTTAGTATTAGTATACTTCGAGATTTACAGATCAGATTTTCTGATGAAACATTGAGCTCTTTTGAGCTAAATGTTGCAATACAAAGGAATTTGTTAATTAAAACGAAGGCATAGTTAACAGGATCGATAACTAATATAGTTTTATGAAAGGGCTGTTCAACATAGATACTATTGATGAGAATGTTTAAATAATGAAAATTTTTTCAGAATTTGAATTTCGGGAGCTGAAATAAAAATACTCAATCAAAAAGCAATAAAGAATATTTCGAATACTTTACTCATATCGTTATTTATTTTAAAGTTTTGCTACTAATTAATTGTATTAATTTCATTTTGATTTTTCCTACATAATGTATATACTAATATATATTATGTAGGAATATATATACTCGTTATTCTTAATTCAATGACAATGTTCGAGCAGAACAGGATAAACTTGGATATTAATTCCATTAATCCTAAAGATAACCCTGTTGTTAGGAGTGTTAAAATTTTATCAGTTTTTTGAAATTCCAAATTTCTTTGAGTCAAAAAATTAAATTATTTTAATGACTCAAGTGCGTTAATGCAAGTTCTCAGAGTTTAACAGTTATTGTGTTTTTAGGTCAATGTACAGGTTTGAATTTAGTGTGTTTCCAACTTGTTTCATTTTTTTTCGAGTTTATATTTCTAAAAGAAGTATCAAAGTATCAAAACTGTAAAATTTTCTCGTTATAAAATCTTATTGCTTTCTCAGAATTTTGGAAATAGTTTACAACAAAATTTGAAAATAGTTTACAATAAAAACAAAATGGTTTGTCTGTATGAATTGAATAAGCTAACCATCGCCTGTCAAGTGTTTCACAAATTAAAATTTTTCTGCTCTAATGTCGAAAAATGCTGAAAAATGCCTAGTATTGTCATGAATGCGACAAATAATTCTTATAGATCCCTTTTTTGACCAGATTATTGCATAGCTAAAAGTTTTTAAAATTTGATATCTAACACCCAATATAACTCCAATCATCAGTTTCACAGTTATCATCATGAACTGATTAAATATTTTTTTGTATTATTTCAATTCTATCTTGTTGTATAACTTTTTCATGTTCTTTTGATTTTGTAGTTGTTAAATTAGATGAAATATCAGGAATATAATCGAATAATTTCCATTTTTTTCCCAATCGGCTTTGGCATTATCCATGACTGTTATATCATCCAACATTAAAAATTAAAGAATAGAAACTTTTTGTTATTCTTTCTTTGTAAGTTTTTGTTTTTCAGCACCAGAATTGTTTTTTGTTCCTCTTATAGCTAACATGGATAAATCAAATTTTAAGTTTCAATTGTTTTATAAATAAAGCAATATGAAATGATGAAATCTGATAATGGTTTATATTTTTAGTCTTGTGTATAAAGCTGCACTTTAGTCACATTCACTTAAGAATTCCTGCTTGCGGAATAAATGTACTATTGAGAAATCTAAAAAGAGAAAATAGAAAAGGTGGAAAAATGACTTTCTCGTGGCTTGGTTCATATGAGATACTTGATATTTTGTCAAACTCGACATGTTAATTAAAAAACATTAAAGGGAACAACACAATAAAGAAGTAATCTCTACATCATGTTAAACCATTTGTTGAAGAGAAAAGTAATTCAAAATTGCATAGACTTAAAATATTTATAATGCTAGATCTTTTTGATGGAGAAGAAAATGATGTACCTTCAAAAATACATGTTTGCAAAGGTGATGGCAATTGTTTTTTTCGAGCAATTTCGTTTTTGCTGACAGGTTCTGAGTGTCAACATACACGTGTTCGCGATGTTGTTGTTAAACATATGGTATCAAAGCCTTGTTCCAGTCTTTTGATATTTAGGCGATGATGTGGAAAGCTACATTACCAAAAAGTGGTATGGCCAAAGAAAGTATATGGGCCACAGATGTTGAGATCCTTGGTACTGCAAATCTTATTGGAATTGACATTGCTATATGGTCCTTCAATGGACCAAAACTAGCATGGCTCAAATATCCAGCATCCATGAAACTCGACCAACTAACATGAAAATCGCTTTACTTGATGACAGTAAAATTATAACGAGCGCAGTAAAATTATAACGTTAAAATATTACTGTCTCAGTAATATTTTAACGTTATTCTTTTACCGCAAAGGAAGTTTGAATGGTCGAAGACTTCCGCGCAGTAAAATTTTAACGCAGTAATTTAAAAACACTACACCGGAACTGCCAACATTTTATGTAGACCCACATTACCCCACTACGTGTGGTAATGTGGGTCTATATAGGCATCTTCAAACAAAGGCTCCCCAGACCTATTGATAGTATTTTAAGTAATAGTTTTTTGTTAAATTTGTAATTAATAACACGTAACCTGAAACAAGTATTTTTAATAAAAAATAAAATAAAAGCTTTTATAAAACGTATACAAAACAACTTTTACTTTTTAAAAAAAATATATAAATCAATAAAATAATAAAACATAAAAAACGCAATAACAATATTATTAACGTAAAAAAATTTTTTTTAAACAACTCAATTTCATTTTACTTCATAACGCAGAGATATAAAACTAAAAATGCTATTAGCTTAAATGGTAACTTTTGAGCTGGTAATCACGAAATTTGTGTTTTTTAAATAAAAACGCGACATAACATTAAAAAAATCAACTTAAATTTGTTGCTGATACAATTTCTACACTAGTAGCTCTAATTGTAATTTTGGTAAATATTCGGCTGTATTTTATTTAAATTTGGGTACATATAACTGTAAACGCGTAGAAAAACTTGAGTATGTATAACTTAGGATACGTGAATAGACGTATCCTATCAAAATGGACATTAACTTTAAAAAAAATACTTTTCATTTTAAAACTAGAGCTTAAAACCTGAAATAATGTCTTCCACAGAAAAATATCCGCCTAGTGCGAATGCAGCTATTCCGACCAATATTATAAGCATATCTTTAACAATCCAAATTTTAGAAAGACCTTCGTTTCGAAAAGTTATGGAATGAATGAGTGGTGGAAATATGATTGCTAACCCGGAGCTCGAAACAGAACCAATCAGTGATATAAAATTTTCTAATTGAGGTATAGCGATAGCACATAAACCTAAATAAAGTAAAACTTGTGACAATATAAACATGAGACATACTTTGAAACATTATCAAACACATGTATGTATGTATGTATGTATGTATGTATGTATGTATGTATGTATGTATGTATGTATGTATGTATGTATGTATGTATGTATTTATGTATGTATGTATGTATGTATGTATGTATGTATGTATGTATGTATGTATGTATGTATGTATGTATGTATGTATGTATGTATGTATGTATGTATACACCCTTACAAAAAAACCCAGCGAACTTCCAGCGAAAGTTCGCTGGAAATTAAAAGATCACTGGAAATTTACTAAGATCACTGGGTTTTCGCTGGATTTCCATGGAAACAAAAGACTTCGCTGGAAGTTCGCTGGAAATCCAACGAAAAACTTCCAGTGATCTTAAAGTTCGCTGGAAGTTTACTGGGTTTCTTGTGAAATATTTCGCGGTGATGTAAAAAGCGTTGCTGTTACAACTTCTGCAAGCAGTTAAAACTTGGAAAATTGATAATATAGCTTCTTAAAATAATATTTCAAATTTTTGTATAAAAGTAATCCTTTTTATTTTATTTTTTGCATCTAATAGATGATCTATAGTGTGAGTTTCAATTATTATTAGTTCTACTCAAGTTACAAAACAAAATCATCTGGTATGTTGCTCGATAACTAATATAGTTTTATGAAAGGGCTGTTCAACATAGATACTATTGATGAGAATGTTTAAATAATGAAAATTTTTCAGAATTTGAAAACGTTTATTTCTCTTAAGTATTGTTTATTATGCATTCGCTTTATGCGAATGCATTTTATTTATTAAATTCAACTTTATTATTTTATAAAAATAATTTTTATAAATGTCTTTATGATTAAGTATTTTATATTAAAAATAATAAATAACAATCTGTTTCTCTCTCTCGCTGAAAGAGAGGGATATATAATATATATCCCTCTCTCTCTCAGTATATATATATATATATATATATATATATATATATATATATATATATATATATATATATATATATATATATATATATATATAATATGTTAGTGTATTCTACAAATAGAGTGCTCAACGTTCTTAAAGAACAGAGCAATAATAAATTAGTATATATATATATATATATATATATATATATATATATATATATATATATATATATATGTATATATATATATATATATATATATATATATATATATATAAAATATGTTAGTGTATTCTACAAATAGAGTGCTCAACGTTCTTAAAGAACAGAGCAATAATAAATTAGTAAAAACACTTATCTAATTTTTATTTTCTTCTACAGCTTGTTTCTCCATCAGTAGGATCATCAAGAAGGAATCTTTCTGATGATCCAACTGATGGAGAAACAAGCTGTAGAAGAAAATAAAAATTAGATAAGTGTTTTTACTAATTTATATATATATATATATATATATATATATATATATATATATATATATATATATATATATATATATATATATATATATATATATATATATATATATATATATATATATATATTTGTGAAGTTGCTTTAAGTACTAATAAGCAATGTACAAAATGTTTGAAATATTTTACATTATCCTATCTTTATAAGAAATGCAGTTATTTTCATATTTTAAACATAAACAAACAGCATAAAAACATGTGTGATAACAATTGGATACATTTAGCAAGTCTTGAAGAAAATGTGCAAGCAACAATTAGACTTGTTGTTAATACTGATGGAATTCCTGTTTTTAAATTATCAAAGTGGACCTTGTGGCCTTTGCTAGCATCCATTCATAATTTTCCATATTCATTGCAAATTACTAATATTTTGTTTTTTGGTTTCTGGTCCAGTTTTAAAAAACCAAACGTGCAATTACTTTTATCTTGTTTTGTTGATTTTTTACTAACCTATCCACTACTGGTATACTCTTATCTAATAATGTTCGTGTTTTTTTTCATGTATCTATTTTTTTGTGTGATACAATTGCAGGAGCTATGGTTTTTTGTTGTAGGTAGTTTAATGATTATAATGGTTGCCATTGGTGTTCTTCTCAAGGAGTAAGAGTTAAAAAAAGGTAGGAGGTCTTGTATGACTTATCCATTTTCTGATGTTAATGAGAGTTGTAGAAACCATACAGATTTTTTTTGGATTAATGTGATTAAAGGGTTTTTAGATTTTTCTACATTTGTAAGAGTACCTAATTTTAATTGTGAAAATGGAACAGTTGTTAATAATCTGCACTGTATTGAGCTTGGTGTTATGAAAGCTATGTTTTCTTTCTGATTTGATAGTTATTATTCTGGTTATATTTTTTCTATTAGAAGACACTGTACTGTTGTAAATAATCTTTTATATGCAATCAGTGTGCCATGCAATATAAGACAGACTCGATGATCATTAAGTTGTATAAAGCATTGGAAAGGTATTGAGTTTTTTACTTTTTTAGTTTTTTATGGTCCTGTTATTTTATGTGATGTTTTGCCTCCTCAGTTTTTTGACCATTTTACTCTTTTATCTAATATTGTTTTTACGTTGAACAATAAGGTATTATCTGAAAGTGTAATTAATGAAGCCACATTATTAGTTAATAGATTTTTTTATGAGTTTTCTGATTTGTATGGTAAAGAAAATATGTTTTACATTAAAGAGTTATTTTAAAGCAGTTATATATATACAAAGCTTTTTTTAAAGCAGGTATTATATTTTAATGCAGTTTTTATTTAAGTTAACTAAAATCTTTCTCTCTCTCTCTCTCTCTCTCTCTCTCTCTCTCTCTATATATATATATATATGTATATATATATATAAATTTTATACAGTATTTATTATATGTTTTTATAAAATTGTTATTGATGTCCTTTAAATATTGTATAAACCATCTTTTTTTTTTAGCTTTAAAGACCCAAACGAAAATACTTTTAAAGTCAATTTTCGCAATTCTGTTTGTTTTGTTGTGCTAATTTGTCAGTAGAGAACCAACAGACCACTGACTCCATAATTTTTCCATCTAAAATTATACTAAAATATCCTAATAAATACAATTTGAATTAGATGATATAAGTTATCAGAGAAAGTAAACAAAGTACACTTATTCGGAATAAAAAATGTAACTACTGCCATTTGGATCTCGACTTTTTTGAAATGGGCTAAAAAACATGCTTAAGCATCATATTGCCTATAAGATATACTTACTGCAATATTTTTCTTTTTCACTAATATACAGGTTTAAGTTTTGCTTTATAATGACTATTATGTTTTTTACAGATTTAAATATCTATATCAGTACAGAAAAGTAGAGCTGTATGATTTTTTGTTTTGTTGATTTAAACAGTTGAAAATTTAAAAAAAAATTAGTTTAAAAATTGTAAAGTTCCTTACAAAAAAAAAACCAGAAAACTTCCAGTGAAAGTTTGCTGGGTTATTAAATTAAAATTATTTAGTTATTATAATAATTGATTATATATATATATATATATATATATATATATATATATATATATATATATATATATATATATATATATATATATATATATATATATATATATATATATATATAATTAAGTTTTTATTATTTTATCTATAATTATTATTTTTATGCAGGATAAAAGTGATAAAATGCTATTGGTTGGAAATTGATAAATTAATAAAAAACGATTGATTCTAATTGCGCGAAAATATGTTGGTATGTTTTTATCTATCTTATACTGTTTTATTTTTGCTTATCATTTCACATTTTGTCTTATTTTGAATATTATGTTTTATATAATTATTAGTTAGTGTTTGTAAAACACTAACTAATTTTGATTGCTTTTAGATTTTGGATACTGCCTCTACCACTAACAAATTAAAAATAAAAGAAGCACTTCATATTAAATGGGAAAATCCTAAATATAAATTTATCTAACTAACTTACGACATTATTATTGTTATTTTAATATTAGGAGGTTTATTTTGTCATAATTTGTAATAAAATTTTTAATTGATTTGTAGCAAGTTTATTTGTCCATTAATTTTTTCTCTGTATTGTCTTCAGTTTTTAAATTTATTTACCAGAATATATATATATATATATATATATATATATATATATATATATATATATATATATATATATATATATATATATATATATATATATATATATATGTATATATATATATATATATATATATATATATATATATATATATATATATATATATATATATATATATATATATATATATATATATATATATATATATATATATATATATATTAGTAGAAAGTCACTTAATAGAAAATTTTTTAAAAGTTTTCGATGTAACAGTGTAAAATGAAAAAAAATTTTTGTTAAGTAATTTTCTACTTATTTATAATTGCTCTGTTCTTTTAAGAACATTGAGCACTCTATTTTGTAGAATACATTTTGAATATTGTTTAAATATATATATATATATATATATATATATATATATATATATATATATATATATATATATATATATATATATATATATATATATATATATATGTTCTTTATTTATTGTATGCATTCTTTTTTTTTTTTTCTTTTTTTTTTTAGCTCTAAAGACCCAAACCGAAAAAAATGCCTAAAGTGGTTTTCAAAAGATGAATTGACGAATTTCTTAATTCTTTTTGTTTCGTTGTGATAATTTGTCGTATGAGAACGCTAACGAGAAAAAACTTTTTAAATATAGAAACATGCGTAATATAAAGTTTACTTATGCCTATAAAAAAATATGTTTTACATTAATTAATAAATTAACTTTTTAGTTTCTTGTTAAAAATTGTATTCTGTATTGAAGTTTATTTCTGAGAATTTGTAATTATACCTAAGATAATCTAATCCTACATTGTATTTTAATTTATAAAACTCGATATTTTAAAATAAATATATTACTTTTTTATCGCGCTTAACTTCTCTTATTTCGCGTTTATTGGTTAAAAAATATTAAAATGTTTATAAACTTTTGAAACTTTTATAGCAAAAATAAAAAATCTTTTTTAAAAAAACTTCCAGCGAATCTATTTTTATACATAAACATGAAAATTCGCTAGAAAAGTTCACTGGAAGTTCGCTGGGTTTTGGAACAAGTTCGCTGGAAATTTCCAGCGAACTTCCAGTATCTTTAAAGATCACTGGAAAAGTTCGCTGGAAGTTCGCTGGGTTTTGGAACAAGTTCGCTGGAAATTTCCAGTGAACTTTAGAGATCACTGGAAAAGATCACTGGAAGTTAGCTGGGTTTTGGAACATTTTTTCACTGGAAGTTCGCTGGGTTTTTTTGTAAGGGCATGTATGTATTTTTACTTTTTAACGTTAGATTACAAAGTTCTTGTAACAAAAACTTTTTTCAAAAAAAATATTTTAAAACAAATGAATTTAAAAAAAAAAAAAATCGAAGAAAAGAAAAAATAAATAAATAAAAAAAGAAAAGAAAGTAAACAAATGAAAAGGAGAGAAAAAAAAGAAAAAAAAGTAAACAAACAAAACAGAAAAGAAGAATAACAAAAACAATTTTAAAGAGATCTAGAAGATTGGTTTTTTTTTTTTGTTTTATTTTTTTTTTTTACATTTTTATTTGTAATTATTATTTTACAATTATTATTTAACTTACTAGTTTTATTTATTGTTAATTATATTCACTTTAGTTCTAGTTAGATACGTAAGATTTTTCTGTTTCATATTTCAGTTGTAATATCTTTTATTATTTTATTATTTATCATTAGATTATTTAAAATTTTTAAATATATATTTTAGATTACTATTATATTTTTATCTTTATTACATATTTTTATGCATTAATTTATTGTGGATTGATATTATTTTAATTTTATCTATTGTTTATTATTTAATATTATTTTATCGTTGTTTTTTTAATTAATAGTATAAATCTATACTTTTTATATACTAATTCGATAATATATAACATAATCAACTATTTTGTTTACTATTGCTGATTACTGTTGCTATTTATTCATTTACTATGTATTGTTTTATTATTTTATCTTTTTGATTTTCTATATTTTTTATTCTATAAACGATTTTACATCTAAACCATGAACATTTTTCACCATTGCAAATTTGGCAACAAAAAAATAAAAAAATAATTATAGAACCAATGCGCGACTGATTCTCTTTTTGGATTCATGCAAAATGTATTCCAATTGACATACTTAAAATGTACTTTTCAATGACACTTCTAAATGGTTTTGCCCAACCTGCTTATCAAAAAATATGCCATTCTGTAAACTCTCTGATCTGGAACTTAAATTAACTCTTTCCTGCAAAAGTTCTCTTTATAAAATAGAATCTTATTAAAATGGCGATGAAACAAAAAACATTGTACTAATAGGAGATTTCAACATAAATTTATTAAATTATAGAGAATCACAAGTCGTTTCTAATTATTTTGAACCTCGATGTTACTTTGAATGTTCTCATTCTCTATTTTTAACCATAATTCTTCCAACATGTATAACTGCAAAAACGAAAACTCGAAAAAAAAAAAAACTTGAAAACATTTACATGAATTCATTTTCTTCTGACATATTCTCTGGTAATCTTAAAACCTACTACAATATTACAACTTCAATCTGTAAATACCAAAAATCTATTATTTACTAAATTTAAGTTATACAGAAATAAAATTAGAAATTTGTTAAGGTATTCTAAAAAAATTATGCTATGCATCTTTTTTTAATAACAACATCAATAACGTAAAAAAAAAAATACTTGGAAAGGAATTAAGGAAGTCATTAACATCAAACCTTCTACTTAAACATCAAACCTTCTACTTAAACATCAAACCTTCTACTTAAATTTTAAACCTTCTACTAAAAGTGTTTTAGTCTTAAAAACAAACTATCTGAAAATATTGTTCCTTCTAAATGTGTTTTGAGCAACTTTTTAAAAATACCTAGTACTAATTCTTTTTTCATTGATCCTGTGATTGAAGATGAGGTGTCGTATCTCATAAAAAGTAGTCTTAAAAACAATAAAAGCCTTAGTCCCAATAGTCTACCAGCATTTCTTTTAAAACTGGTATCTCGCATTATCTCTAAACCTCTATGTATGATGATGAATAATTTGTTCAAAACTGTTATTTTTCCAGAAGCTTTTAAGGTAGCCAAAGTAATTCCTAAACACAAAATAGGTTCTCTTCTAGACTTCTCCAACTATCGACCTATTTCTCATATTTTCAAACTAAGTTTCTCCGCGCAGCGGCCTTGTTCAAGGTTTGTGTTTCGGAGTTATAGAGTTGAGAGAGGGTTATAACCACAATTAAGTAGCCTCCTCGTCTGTAGTGGCCTTCTAGGCCTTGGGGAGGTGAAATAACAAAAAAAAAAAAAAAAAAAAAAAAAAGTAAATAGTTTGAAAAAGCAATGTTCCAAAGACTCAATTATTTTTTTCATTAGTATTCTCTTCATCACTATTATTGTTATTGTTATTATGACTATATTATTATAAATACTATTATTCTTACTGTTGTTAGTATTGTTATAATTATTTTGGGTTTTATTGGGTAAATTTGGGTTTGTTTTTTTTTTATCTGTAAAAAAAATTTTTTTTTTAAATCGATATTGAAAATTAGTTTAATTTTAACTTTATTTAAAATATATTTTACATAATGTTATTTAAGTTATAAATATCTTATAACAAAAATTTTTCAAACCCTTTTGAAAAAGATTTTTAAATATAATTTAAAACTGTAATAGAAATTAGGCTAGTGGGTAGAATGAAGTGACCATATTAAGTGATCAACCAAGTACAGTAATATGTAACTATTGCAAAAAGAACATAATTAAAAAAGTAGTGAGAGTTTAGATCCATTTTGATAAATTCCGCAAAAGTATTAAGCAATACATCAGTTTTAGAGCCAAGACCATCTACATCTGCAGCATCAAACAAGTCTAACCAGTCAGAAGATAATGATCAAGATTACTTAAGCTTTATTAGTAAATTTTCATCAATTGTTCATTTAACTGCAATAACGATGTAACAGCAAACTTCAAAAGTTTCTAAATTTGTTACTTCAACAACAAGTAATCAGAAGAATGAACTGGATTTGCAGGTTAAAAGGTTTCTTTTTTTCAACAAATATACCATTCAACATAGTAGAAAAACTTGACTCAACTACCCATAGAATAGAAAACAGATATCTTCAGAACTCTTATTAAAGGTAAACAAAGAAATAATCAATATAATGAAGTGTGATCTGTGCTGTTATCCTAATTCAAGATGATTGGAGTACATTTAGTGATGATTTTTTAATTGCTCATAGTATCCAAGACGATACAAAGATGATATTTTACAGAGGTTTAAGAAAACAATTGTTCCATATCATTTTCTGGCCAATTTACAGATCCAAAATGTAAAGGTAACCATAAAATTGTAAAAAAATTAAAAACTTGCACCTGATCAAATTAAAATAAATACTGATAAAATTTTTAAGTTAACTATCTCTGACTAACTGTACCTATTTATTTAGAAAGTTGTTTCTCCACGCAACAACCTTGTTTATAAAGGTTCATGTTAAGGAGTTAAAGAGTTGAGAGAGGGTTGTAACCACAATAAGGTCTACTGTAGTGGCCTTATCAGGCTACTACTACTCATTCAAAATTAACGTTTGGAGGTGAATAACATAAAAGATAAAAAAATTTCAATCTATAAAAATATTTGAATAAAAATTGTGATTATGTATTTCCAAATATTGATTCAAATATTAGTAAACCTGCTCTGAGAACTGTTATTGTTGGTTATAATAGTTAATAATAATTTAGTTAATTTTAGTAGTTAATAATTAATTTAGTTAATAATATTATAGTTAGAATGTTAATGTTGGTTATTTAGTTCATAAAATTTTTAAATACCTTTAAAAAACCCAATAAAACCCAGATTACCCGACTTTTTTTGGGTTTTATTGGGCAGGTTTTTTAATGTCAACCAATAACAATATATATTAACTAAATAAAAAAAATAACAATATATATTAACTCACAAGTAAACATCATAAAAGCTGCTCTTAAAATATATTCCAGCCTCTTTACTCTTCGAACTTTAAATCTTGCAAGTAGATATGGTAGCATTATTTGCATTGGAACGTAAAATTGTATAAAAAGTGTAAAAAACATAGCTATGGCATATGCATACTTTACAACATTATACAACCTGTATAAAAAAAAAATTTTATATCTCCCTCATAGTTTAAATTATTTTGTATTATTATTAAATTGTACAAAAATTTTAAACTAAATAAAATATTTATAGAAAATAGCTACGCATTATCTGGCAGGTTCAAAGTCACACTTCCGGTAATACCATCACCAATTGCAATATATCCAAATACACCAACAACAAGATATAATGTAGTAACTATTCCCATGCCAATATTGAGGACCCAAGAAAAGTCCTCTGGATTTTTAGATTCATTTTCTAGAGGAAGAATCTAAAAGTGAAATTTTTATACTTTGCATATTTAAGAACAATTTTTATATTTTTTACAAAAGCAATTTTATTAGGAAGCACACCCCAAAAAAACTACATCAGAAACAAATTGCAAAATTTAAAATCAACAAAAACTAATACAAATATAAACTAGAGTTGTAAATATCCTGTCAATACCTCAAATAAAATTAAACAGGTCAGAATTTTTAATGTCTAAAATAAAGAGGGTTTAAACAGGTAGGTAGGATCAGAATTTTTAATGTCTAAAATAAAGAGGGGTTAAACAGGTAAAATCAATCAAATCAAGTTGTTTCTCTTGAACATATCAAAATTATGTTCAAGAGAGACAATTTTCAGAAAAAGTGCATACTTAAATTTTTTTAATATTTATACAAATATTAAAAAACATTTAATTCGAATTGAAAGTTTTACAAAAGTATTGTGGTAATCTGAGTCTGGGAGCAACTTATATTCCCAAACATGGGATTTAATTTTTAGATAAAAAACTTCATTAAAAATTTTTTTTAGAATAACCTTTGGGTACCTAGCTACCATTTTCCCAAAACTGAACAAAGTTATAATAAACATATTTAGGGGTCTGTTTGCTTCAAAAGTCTAGATCTTATTTTGTCATAGATAGTCATATCATATTATAAAATTCCTCAGTCAAGTTTTTCTAAAACCTGTACTTTTAGAGAAACTCATAATCAAAGCTTCTTGATACTTTATGATGTCATAGTCAAGTTTTAGAGTCTTAACAACTAATCTAATAACTTCTCTCAAATATTTAATTACCTGTGTTGTGACTGAATGATATCCCAGGGCTGCAATTTTTTTTTTTATAGAAGTAAGAGTTAATTCCTATGTATTTTTGGTTGTTGAATTCAGCAAAATTATCAAAAAAAACTCCATCACGTGATGACTGCTAATTTTGTTCATGCAATGTGCAAGGGTATAGTACCAAAAGTAAAAACAAATTGGTTACCTAAACATGAATTGGTTACGGATCTGGCAGATCTCACGGATCTGGCATTCCGAAACTACAAGCACCCTAAAACCTAGAAAATTTGCTATTATTATAGAAACAATCTGGTGTGTTACTAGGGTCCAGACTGCAAGAGAAGAATTTATTGACACCTGGAACTTCTTTTGCTTAGTATAGAAATGGATAAAAACATTTTGAGCCCTATTTTTCTCAAGATGGTGAGCTAGTCTATTCCTATATTAATAGTTTAATGACCATGTTCGAAGTTAAACATATAGCTGAAAAATGGAGACTGTTAATTAATTCCTCAAAAAGAAGTATAAAAGCTATTTTACTTCACAACGGGAATAAGTTTGCATCAATACCCAATGGTCATTCAATGATTTTAAAGGAAACTTATGGTAACTTGGCATTGATCTTGGATAAGTTAAAATACAAGGAATACAAACAAAATAAAAGGAATTCAAGTGGACAGTTTGTTGGGATCTTAAAGTAATTTCTATGATACTTGGAAAGCAAGGTGGTTACACAAAATTTCCCTATTTTCTTTGTGAATAGGATATCAGTTGGACACGGAAAAATTCGGTCAACTTTAAATTTAGATTTTTCTAAAACCACAAGTGGTTTTATTTCTTTATTTTTTTAATTAAATGTTACTTTCTTATCTTTAATTGTGTTGTGAAACTTTTGTTTACAAATCAATGACTTTCAAGATACTTCAGAAACATATTGAGGTGCATAAAAAAATAGTGTATTTTTTTTTGCAAAAATTCATTGATTTCATATCGCTTGATTGTTAAACGTACAAATGTCCAAAAATCTAAAGTCATACATACTATAAATAAGTTTAAGACTACTCAAAGCTTTGAGAAAAAACCTAGAAGTGGAAGAAAGAAAAATTTCCATAAACCATATGATAAATAAATTACATAATAGATCCAAATGGATGGCATTCTCGAATTCAGCATACCAATAATACCATACATATAATTCATCCATTACTATTAAAAAAAATGTGGCTTTCAAGAACTTTTGGTTACAAGAGTTGTGATAATCCCCTTAATCATAACTTTTCAAATATACTCACAACTGTCTCACCCATTATTTTGATGAATCATTAATTTTAATTTAATTTGAATGCACATCAAAATATTAATTTACATTGGTGTGATCTTCATTAAGCTTTTCTCACATATCTTTTTTGAATGATTTTCAACCCTTCCAGCTTTTAAATATACTTAAAGCTCTATCCATTTGTGTTACTGAGACCATTCTTTAATTTGTTCCTTTGTAGGAATTGGTGAATCAGTAAACAAAACTTTAGAAAAAATTTTCAGCTTTTTCACACAACTTAGATTTCTATAAATTGCAACCTTAAACAAATTTCCTTCTTTTTAAAACTATGTTCAAACTGTTTTGAAGGTTTGTATTTCTGCACATCTGTCTAGATAAAGACCACAATTTTTATCATTTCACTGAAATTTAACAGTTTTTATGCGTGCTTCTGTGTCAATATTTTTGATTTAAATTTCATAGAGGTAATTTTAGATTTGACATTTTTTGAATAAAAAATTTAAAAAAACTGTAAAGAAATTTTATTTTAATTTAAGCTAAAAATAAAGGTCCTGTATTACATTTTCTTTTCTCTCTGTTATACCACAAACACCAATAATACTGGTCCAATAACATTTAAACATTAAAAAATCCTAGTTAATCCATGTGTGAGAACAATTTGTTTTGTAAGATATTATCTCCCACTAAAGTTAAAAAACAATTAATAATATATAATAATAATATTTATGTTTACAGAGCTATCATTTATGTTTATATAATAGGTACCAGCGATTTTCAACTTTTAAAAAAATTAATTGCATCAGACAGGAGGTTTAGTCTAATTACCTTAATTAGCAATAAAAAAAAAAAAAATTGAAAGTTGCAAATCTTTCCAATTCTATCTTATTCAAAATAATTATGAACATGATGAGGTTTTATTTCTATTTTTTAAAGTTTGAAATTGTATTATGTTTTTTTTTATTATTATATATTTACTTTACAATATTCTTTTTATTAGAAGTTGTTATTTAGGATTCTGTTTGCAATCAATTAATTAATGAAACATCAAACTTAATTCATAATGGCGACAAGAGTTTGTTGTTTACAATGATCTAAATCAGATTTCTTTTTGTACCATTTTGACTTTGTGTAGTGTTTCTTTTAAGAATTAAATAAATTTGTTAAGAGAAAAGAAATCGTATCCACCTGTTATCGCGGATAACAGGTGGATACGATTAATATCTATTAAATTAATTAAATATTTATTTAGATACAATTATTAATTGTTTTTCGTCAACTGTAAATTTTCCTTTTTTTATATGTATATAAAAATAATATGTGTATATATATGTGTATATATATGTGTATATATGTGTGTATATATATGTGTATATATATGTGTATATATATGTGTGTATATATATATATATATATATATATATATATATATATATATATATATATATAATATATATATATATATATATATATATATATATATATATATATATATATATATATATATATATATATATATATATATATATATATATATATATATATATATATATATATATATATATATATATATATATATATATATATATATGTATATACACACACGAGGCTTATTTAAATTTTTTTTAATTTAACTTTCATATTTTCATACACTTTTATTTTGAAATTTTAGATAATAGCTTTAAAACAATGATAATGAAAGTTTTTTCATTGTTCTAAATTTATGGTAAGTTAAATATGCTTTTTTGTTATAAAATATATGTTATTATGTTGTTGAATTACATTAATATTTTTATAAATTACGTTATAGCTACAGTTATGGTCGTAAAAGATTAAGGAAAATCTTATGGGTGCAATTATTCCACTGACACCTGCGAAATTACCAAAAGAACTGACCATCGCTGTGTTTTCAAAATGAGTGTTGGTCTAAAATATTTTCCAGGGTATTTTTATGTATAATGAAATTTTTTAGACATGTTTGGGTCCTGTAAAATCTGGTAGTTTTTCATAAAAGCTATATAATTAGATAAACTTATTATATTATAAAAATTTTTTTTAAATGTGGTTGCAACTTGGGTTTACATAGACAGTTATCAAAATTTTTTTTTAGATATTTTTGTGTTTAAGTTAAAAAAAAACATTTAACTTTTTAGCTTGAAAACTTTAACTTAATGCAAAAAAAAAATTAACCACTGAAAAGTTTTAGTTTCGTTCACGTTTACTTACTTTTAATGACGTATTTCTTCGTAATTCTACAAAAAATGGCAAATCTTTAAAACTGTTTATTTATGTTGCATTTTCAACATATTATTTTGAGTTAACACTTATTTTTTTATAAACTATCTACTCCAACTTGAACCAACTTACTCCTTACTCCAGCTTGAACAAACTTAATCCTTACTCCAGCTTGAAGAAACTTAATTTTTACTCCAGCTTGAAGAAACTTAATCCTTACTTAAGCTTGAAGAAACTTTATTCTATACTCCAGCTCGAAGCAACTTACCCCTTACTCCAGCTTGAAGAAACTTAATCCTTACTCCAGCTTGAAGAAACTTAATCTTTACTCCAGCTTGAAGAAACTTAATCCTTACTTAAGCTTGAAGAAACTTTATTCTATACTCCAGCTCGAAGCAACTTACCCCTTACTCCAGCTTGAAGAAACTTACTCTTTACTCCAGCTTGAAGAAACTTAATCCTTACTCCAGCTTGAAGAAACTTAATACCAAAAAATTACTGGCACCCATAATAAAATGTAACATTTCTTAATTCTCATTAAAGTTCTCATTAAAATTAAAAACAACATTTTCTTATATTTACTTGAAACTTATCCATTTTCAAAGGGGACAAGTTTTAATCCAACTTTTCACTCTCTCACTACAGCTAGATGCAGCTGAAATGCAAATCATATTTTTTGGAAAAGAAGAGACTTATTTCTTCCACCTTTCCAGCACATTTACTTCTTTAAAACAAAGTTTAAAATAAAAAGATTTGAGCACTATTTCAATTTCCATGACAGTATGACTGCCATATGACTATGTTGTAGTGATAATCATCCAGTTTAACCACTACACTTTGCATATCATTATTTTTATTCACACCAGCTGACACTACAACCTGTGTTTCTTTTTGAATACCTAATTCACTGATTAAAATGCTTCTGTGAACTCTTCTAAAACGTAAAAGTAATTTGCAATTATGATTCCACACATAAACAATCACTCACTTAAATTGTTATGAATCAAACAACAGATTGTTATTATATGAATGTTTTAATAAATAAATAATAAAAAAATATGATATTTTTAAATACCAAATCTAAAATTTATTTATAATTTTTATACTTATATGCTATTTAACATGGTTTTGAAATCCAACTCAATTGCTTCAAGATACAGTAATCAGGGATGAACTAATTTACCTTAATGTTATATACACACCACCCTTTTTAATTATGCAGCAAAATCTCATATGCATTAGGTACATCAATTAATTTAAAACATTCTCCCACTATTGGAACCAATAACATAACAGGCTCTAATTAACATAACTTTTGAAAAAATTATTCCCCACATATATTCAATTCATATACATATATATATTCATATGTATATGCTATATACAATACTTTAGTGCATATATATATGTGTGTGTGTGTGTGTGTGTGTGTGTGTGTGTGTGTGTGTGTGTGTGTGTGTGTGTGTGTGTGTGTGTGTGGGTGTGTATACTAAAAAATATATTTTACATCTTTGAAAATTATTAAAGGTAACAATTTTTGAGCAATTAAACCTACAACTCCAATTCCTTCAAAAGCAAAGATTGCCATACTAGCAAATCGTGGAAGACCACTCCATCCATTGAATGCATGATACTTTCGCGGATCTTGGAAATTTCTTCCCAAATATTGTAGAATTGCAATTAATCCTCCAATACAACATATGTTAGCAACAACAGACAAATATGACAATTTCTCTAAACTTCTTACAAATGAAAACAATATTGCAAGGGGTGCCAATGCTAAAATAATTAATCGCATATTAACTGTTTTTTCCAAACCAGATACTTCCACAATTGTATTTGCAATAAACACAAAGTATATTGCACAAAAACCAAACTGTGTGATAATCAAAAATATGTTCACAACAAACCTATTTAAGTAAGAAAAAAAAAATTATAATAAATGTTACAATACTTAGATGTATTTTAGTTTTAAATATTACTAATAATGTTATTAACAAAAAAAAGTATTTATCTGTTTTTTTGAACCTTTTTATACATGTTAATAATGTTTTTTTCTGATTTTACTAAATTGAATAAAATTTTTAGATTTACCAGCTTCATCAACATTATCAACTGCTTTACATCCGACTGGAATGATTGTACAAGTTAATTTTAAAAATTAGTTCATAGAGTTTAATTTTTGCAATATTGTTAAGATTTTTGTTTATTTAAAAATATATGCAAATATATTTTAAAGTTAGGACCACTGCAATCTGATGCCTGCAATCTGATGCCAACAATCTTTCTATTTTATTAATTTTTTTTAATTTTGTAAAACAAATCATGAAACAACAACAAAAGATAAAAAGGTTTTATTAAAACAATTATCAAAACTGTATATAACTAAAGTATATTAAATAAAATTTTATGGTGTAAAAGCACACATAATTTTTCTATTTATATATGTATAAGTTATATATATTATATATGTATATGAAATCAGTCATTTAGAGTAAGGGATTATTCAAATAATACATGACACTCTTAGGGTATTGGAAAATGTCACCTAATGTCATAGCATAGTTCGCTTAAATTGAAAACTCAGAGATATATTTTCTTTCAAAATATTGTCAGGTCACATACAAAAGGGAGGGAGGTTGATGAAAATGTCATATATAAGTTAAACAGCATATAATTATCGTTTTTAAGTTTTCATACAATTTTTTATTAAAAAAATAATATTTAAATCTAAAGTTTAAAGTTATTTTAATATGTATAACACATTTAGTATGTATAGGAATACTTTAAAAATTGTTTTTTTTAGGAGACCATAATAATTGTTATTTACAAAACTGGAAATACAGTTTAAAGAAAAAATATCAAATCATAAACAAGGGAACTTTTTCGATAGCGCCAACCGTATTTGAGCGCCAATTTGGGCACCGCCCAAATTAAAGTTTGAGAACCTTTTTTTTTTACGGCAAATTTGTAATTTTTGCGAAAAACCCACCAATTTTCGGCTAAAGATCGCTGTTACGAGGGGGTATTGCTGCCCAAATTTAATTCTTAGAGTAAGCCCTTATATATATATATATATATATATATATATATATATATATATATATATATATATATATATATATATATATATATATATATATATATATATATATATATATTGTATATAATAAAGTATATATATATACATATATAATAAAGTATATATATATATATATATATATATATATATATATATGTATATGTATATATATATATATATATATATATATATATATATATTATATATATATATATATATATATATATATATATATATATGTATATATATATATATATATATATATATATATATATATATATATATATATATATATATATATATATATGTAGATTGTTCACCACAATTTATCATTATATATCATTATATATATATATATATATATATATATATATATATATATATATATATATATATATATATATATATATATATATATATATATATATATATATATATATATATATATATATGTAGATTGTTCACCACAATTTATCATTATATATCATTATATATATATATATATATATATATATATATATATATATATATATATATATATATATATATATATATATATATATATATATATATATATATATATATATATATATATATATATAGATTGTTCACCACAATTTATCAAGCCTTGTGATAAATAAAAAATGCTAAATCCATATGCCTAATGGATTTTTTAACATCATTAAATTCTTTGAGGGGGTGGGATTTGGGGTGGCACCAATCTAGGGGGTGGGGGCAACCAACTTTTAGTAATTTAATTAACTTATGCTAATACCTTTTTAAGACTATAACATTGTATATTTGCTGGAAAATCTGGCACACATAGTCAATGTTAGTCACTATCAAAATTTGAATATTATGGTAAAAGCATGAAAAAATGCAATAAGATCTGATGGCTTTAACTGTATGTTTATTAAAAAATGGATCGTGTATGTTTCATGTTAGAAAATGAAAGCATGTATCTTTGTAAGTAGGTTGCCCCCCTCTATTTGTTAGACTGGTGCTACACACACACACACACGAACACACACACCCTTTATCTCATTAGGGAGGTGTGTGTGGAAATTTTGTTTTTAGATTTATTTAAGTTCTAAACTGCAACAAGCTGACTATATTATTGCAAAGAGTAGTAGCTAATCAGAAAGCATATCTGTAAAGACTTGTGGATGAATAGAAAATCGCTACAGTTAATTATATTTTTGCATACTTTAGCAATTTTAGGATTTTTCTGAAGTTGAAGAGGTCATAATTTTTCTCTAACTTATTAAAAGTTAATAAAAAACACTTTTTTTAAGAGAGAACTATCCAGAAAATAATTCTAGAGACACTTGTTGAAAGTGAGAAAAAAGTTACACTGTTTTAAAGTAGTCTATTTTGACCATTTGTAAAAAAAGGTTCTTAATGAAAATTTGCCTTTAAAAATGACAAAATCAAGTACACTTTAAGTAAAAAAATTTAAATTTAAATGAGGAAACTAATTTTAAATAATGGTTAACATTTTTATAAAAAATCACAAAAATGCAATTTATAGACTTGAATGTTTTTTATTTTTATTATAAAAAAAAAAAAAAACATTTTGAATTTTTTTAATTTTATTTTTTTACTGTTTACATACATTGACTGAGTGTTGCTAAATTGACTGAGAAATAGTTTACACCTTTAAAGATTGCTGGTACAAGCATAAGAACTCCCTTCAATACGAAAGTATAAAGTATATAAAGTTAATACCACAGAGCTTTCAAAATATATCTGGGAAATAAAAAAAAAAGGGATTTTCAAAGCCTATAATTACGTGGAGGATTATTAATAGGGCGGAACTTTTTGAACCTGGAAGAAAATTATGTAACCTTTGTTTAATGAAAAAATACCATATCATTACATCACCTTTGAAACTATTAAATAAACAAAAGGAATTAATATCTAAATGTTGCCACAAAAACAAATTTCTTATCTGCAACTTTAATGCCATCTAAGCTAACACTGTATTGTATTTTTGTATATAATTTTTGTTGTTGTTATGGTTGTTTGTAATGTCTGATGATCGCATAAAACATGAAACCCTGAGTTATGTTACAAATTTAATTGTATTTTATTATTATTTTGATATAATATAATATATTTGCTCTACTTTTATATATATATATATATATATATATATATATATATATATATATATATATATATATATATATATATATATATATATATATATATATATACATACATATATATATATATATATATATATATATATATATATATATATATATGTATACATATATATATATATATATACAGTATATATATATATATGTATATATATATATATATATATATATATATTATATATATATATATATATATATATATATATATATATATATATATATATATATATATATATATATATATATATATATATATCAGGCTTGGTCGGAAAGCAGGTGCGATCGCACTCGATAACTGACCACGGAAATAAAATTTTGTTGCGAAAAACCGGCCAGATTTTATAGACGTTTTGAGAACATTTAAGTTTATGTATGTTTCCTTGTTTGTCTGCAAAATAATAAGTTCAATTTTAAAATATTTTGTTTTACGGACTTACATGGAAACATACATAAATTTGAATCTTCTCAAACATTTTAGTGCGGAAAAATAAAAAAATAATATTTGCGAACACAAAAAAACCGCCAAATCTACGAACAACTAATTCTAATGGTTCCAAAGATACTAACCGAAATTTCTAGAGTATTTAAAAAATACTAACCAAATGTCCTGAGTATTCGGTTGAAATATTTTTAAAAATTGTATTATTTGAATTTTGTTACGTTTTCGTGAGATTTCTAGCATAAATTATTTTAGGAATATACTATCAAACGAACTATTATTTTAATTCTTAGAGCCACATCTACAAAGCTATAAATGTTTTAAACTAACATTATTTGTTTACAATAATAAATGTTTAAAATTTATATTTTTTAACTTGTCAATGTTTTGTAAATATATTATAAATTTTATTAGTATATTCTTATTTTTTATATATAAGGGATGTTTTTTTTATGTATGTAATGTATTTTTATCTATGTAATTTTATGTATGTGTATTTTATTCAAATGTAATCTTTTAAAGCAATTTGTGCGATTGATTTTGTAAAATACTTTCAATAATAACTGCGTTTTCAATGAAATTATTAATATTCGTCAAAGTTAATACAAATAATTTTAACCACTAATCTATTTTCCTCAGTGTACCCGATAACTGATTCTTATCCCCCAGAAAGAAAAGTTTTTATGTTCTTAGAAATTGGTTTACTAACTTCAATTATTTTTGCTTCAGCCATTCTTACAAACTCATTATACATAAAGTTACTTTTTTCTGTTTTAAATACTAATTAAAATTATAAAGCCCACTCACTAAACATTATCAGTGTTATTGTGAAGCAATTCCGCTTCCTCCTCACAAAGTAATTTAACGTTTTTAGTTAGTTTCTATCTAGCTAATTGAATTTATAGAGTAACTCAATGATTTAATTATTTCATTTGTTCATCTTACTAAGAAGAATAGTTTCAAATGTGTTAAACTTTTTAAACTACATGAAGCATAAAACAGTTATTGAAAAAACTTTTTTATTTATAAATAAATCATCTAGCGTTAGTTTTATTGGTTGAATCTTGTTGGACTTTTCAGGGCCGGGGGCTGCATTATTTTGGCGGCCTTTTTTATGTGCCAAAGCGTAAAAATGACTAAAAAAATGCCAAATGGTCCTCTTGACTATTTCCCCTAACATTATGAGTCCCGGGGCTATAGCCCTACTACCCCCAGCGCACC